TGGGTCCCCGACCACGCAGGGGGAGGATTTCAAGAAGGGAGTGACCAAGTGTCACATGCCGCAGAAATACCAGAACCAATCATTATGTTAAAAAATATCCTTTGTCCTGACTCTAGTGACAGCCACAGGGTGACTGGCGGGTAGGAAAACAGAGGCAGGGAGCATAATCGCTTCCAGGGATCTAGCTGTGAAGATGGAGCCCAAAGGAAGAGCGCCTCGCCTGGAGGGGAAAGCGGGGTACAGCAAAGAGCCTGTTTAAACGGCGATGAGAGGAAGCTCCCAGGTGAGGGACTTAGGTCTATGTCTGTATTTCTCAAACCCGGCCCATCACCAGAATCACCCGGGGAGCCCTGAGCTTACGAATGGAATCAAAGTTTCTGGAAAAATCTGGAAATCTGTATTCTAATGTTTCCCAGGTGATCCAAAGACTAGCATCTGGGAACCATCCGCCGAGATGATTTTTAAAGTCTACTGCCGTCTGGCAGTCTATGACCCAATCCTACTGATATAAAGAATCTTTCCAGCGGGATTTCAAAGATAAATTCACTTTGTCCAAAAAATAAACAACTCTATTTTTTTCAGATTTCTGTATTGCTGTAGCAATAAAACTATCTTCAATTGTAGGAATTTTACCAGTGCTTTTTATTTTTTAAAATATATTTTTATTGCCCGGCCGGCCGTGGCTCAGTGGTTGAGCGTCGACCTGGGATCCAGGTGATCGGGGTTCGATTCCCAGTCAGTGCACATGCCTGGGGTGCGGGCTGCAGCCGATCAGTGACTCTCTCATCACTGATGTTTCTATCTCTCTCTCCCTTCCTCTCTCTGAAATCAATAAAGATATATTAAATATATATATTGAAATGCTATGAGTCTAGACATAAAAGAAACGTCCATGTAGTCACTGGGCCGCACGAAGTCTGGGTTGCTTAGGGGTTCACAGGAATTTCCACCACAGAGCAGCCCCACCGTGCGCTAAAAACACCTGCTGACCCTGTGGCCTGGGGCCCGCACTCCTACTGGAATGAAGCGTCAGGAGCACATGAGCGTCGGTGTAAACCCCCTGGTCCGTCCTTAGTCAGTTTCTCCCTGAGCCCAGCGACTCAGAG